GATGATGATGATGATGATGATGATGATGATGATGATGATGATGATGATGTGATTACAGAGATGGGTTAACCCTATATAGGATTACTGGCCCACCATTGATTCAATAGCCTGAATCCCGAACAGCCCTTCTTTTACAAAGAACTTTAGACTTGAGTGACATTGAACAACAAGATGAGAGGCCTCAATATAGGCCTGTCACGATGTCGTGTAAACGTTTGTGAACGTTCAACGGGCCTCTCTGACCGGATTCACAGCCTTGCGCAGCCTTTGTCTCGGCGCCCGATGGCGAACTCTGCCTCTTCGATCGATTACGATCTGGGTTGCCCTTCTGGTATGACTCTGGCTTCCAAATTCCAAAGTCCTGATTTCAGGTCATGATGTCCGGTCAGTTTTGTTCACCTTTTACCATCAGGCTTTGGTTCAGAACGAGACTGGGCACCACTGACTGAGAACCCCACCATGATACACTGACTGAGAAGGGCCACCACCTTTCTCACACCAACTGGGCATCCGCACATTCTACGATGCCCTCCCACGGCAGCGCCACCCTCAGAAGCTAGCTGCGAGAAGGCAGAGTGGGCATTGTCGCTTCTGGAACTGAACCCAGATTGATGTGCTGGCTTCCAACCCACCTGGGACTCATTTGTTTTGACATGTTTTCTTGTAAACTGGGCCTCATGTGCCCAGCTTGCTCCAACAAAAACAGGACCGTGGAATCCCACTGAATCACAGGGGGGGCGGGCGCACCTGAGTAAAACACTGGGAAAAACGCGAGGTCGGACAAAAACACGATAGATGATCACCGAAACCGTCACATTCCCGTACGATTGAAGCATATCAAAACCCGTACGATTGAGCTCCCGATGCTCAGATGGATCCATCCATCCTTCGTTCATCTTCTGTTCCCTCCTCATGGGCATACCGTTTTCTAAGCGTACCGTCGAGAGAGCTGCGTGGTGGACGTTCCTTACAGTGAGGGCATACTGTTCTTCTTTCTTCAGTATGGACAGGTTGCTTGGCAGGCCCAGCACTAGACCTCCATGTTCTGATGAGTGTCTTAAAAGGAGAATCCCTACTCATGGAAGAATGCAGGTCCCATGCAGGGACCAATGGAGGTCCCATGGAGGTCCCATCGACCAACCGGACAGTCCGGTCGGCTCGGCCGGTGACCTGGGACATCGAACCTATCGGTCTTCCATCGGTCGAAGCTCCACGTGACCCGGTGGTCGTTGGACCGTCCAAGCTCGGGGCTGGGCTGGGCTTGGCTTGGTCGGTCCAAGCCGGTCCCACCGGGGATTTTGCGCTGGACGTCGTCCTGGGCTTCCCAGGGGCCCAGGGGGTATAGAACTGGAGGTATGATGTGTGATCTATAAATCTGCATGTTTGTTTCACCCCTTATATAACTGTCCACATGCTTGGCACACTGGGTGTCGCGAGCCATTGTAGCCTGCCCCCTTGCAGCCCCTGCCCCTTGCAGCCCTGTCACACTTGAGGCTTCAATTGCCGCCATGTGGGCATCAGCACGTGATCCGCGTAGTTTCTACGTCCACGTGGAGCCACTTTGGGGAAAGGGGGCTTAGGACACCCAGTTGGCTCCACGTTGCCAAACGAGACATCCAATCTCTTGCAGCCCATCAATGGGGTCCACCCATGAAATGCAATTGTCGACCTTCCCTGTATATCCTCAGTGCTATATGGTGTTCAAAGGCTTTCTGTTTGCCCCCCCAAAAAAAATCGCCGTTTGAGGTCTCTTTATGGCCCCTTTTCACTGCTGGTGGCCGTACTTGACCCGAAGCTGCTCCGAATCACCCGTTTGGTCTCTCAAGCAGGTCAGCTCTAAACATGATGAAACCAAAACCACATGAAACAGCCAGTGACCTTCTGTATGTGGTTTCCTCTCCACACTTGATCTTTGAGCCAACAAATGACACTGGCAACTTCTGCCAAGGGTAGATATTCATCCGAAAATGGTGAATGGTCAACACTTTTTCATTGGATGGTGTACCTGTGCTCATTCACATTGGGCAGGAATATGATTGATTCTGTCAAATTCCCTCTGTCACACATCTTCAAGAACACACCCAATCATTTGGTTTTGTGATTCCAACTATTTCTAGAACCAGCGAACCCATGCATTCCACTGCCTTCGCAGACCAACCTTTGGCATCCGTCACCGGTGTTCGTGAAACGAAGAGACGTGGCATCAAGTGGCAAACATGTGGATGCGTCTTTTGTAAATTTGAGAAAGGAACTGTTCAAGAACTATGCTTTAAAGGTTTGATGACTCCCTCAATTTCCCTGGAATTTGAAGGTCGACCTTTCTCCACCTGTTCTTGTTTACTGGCGATACCAATTCAACAAAGGTTAACAGGTTATCAACTGAGTGGTTAGGAATAATGGCAACCCATATGATTTCAGCATCTTTCGCCTTTCTTGGAGGTTCTCCCAAGTATTCTAATGCACGCCCATGTGAATGAAAACAGCGGTATGGATGTGGATTGAACTGCGGCATTGCAAGAGGTTGTTTTGAAGAAAAGCGTTTCAACTATTTTCCTCGTATGGACTTTTCGGTTGCGATCTTTGCTTGTTGCGATCGAAGCCCGTCCGCTCAGAGGAGTCGACGCTGCCCGAGGAGTCCGTGCCCTTTTTCGCGCGCAGGACGCGCCCGGCTCGCTGTCCTTGGCTGGTAAATTTGGCGGTGCAGCGGAGCGGGAATCTTGGACACACCAGTTGTGGTGTCGTCTTGGCTCAAGTAGCAGCATGTAGCAGCAGTAGGAGTAGCAGCAGTAGTAGTAGTAGTAGTAGTCGTCGTCGTCGTCGTCGTGGTGATACTGGCAAAGAAGTAATGGTAGTGGTAGCAATTAATTATTGTTGTAATAAAAGCATCAGCATCAACAGCAGCAGCAGCAGCAACAGTAGTATATAGTGGTGGTGGTGGTTGTGGTGGTGATGGTGGTGGTGGTGGTCGTCGTAGTAGTAGTAGCAGCAGCAGCAGTAGGAGTAGTAGTAGTAGTAGTAGGAGCAGCAGCAGCAGCGGCGGCAGCAGCAGCAGCAGTAGTAGTAGCAGCAGCAGCAACAGCAGCAACAGGAACAGGAACAGCAACAGCAGCAATAGCAGTAGCAGTATCAGTAGCAGTAGCAGCAGCAGTAGCAGCAGCAGCATCATTAGTAGGAGCCAACCTTCCACTATGATTGACGCTAATTCTTTTGGTGGGCCCTGTCAACACCATCGGGCATGCCATGAGCCATGAGTGTGTCGGAGCTGGAGTCGATCCTGGTTTGCTCGTGTGTGTGTGTGTGTGTGTTTGTGTGTGTGTCTAGGTTCAGGGGGTTGTCTAGCTTCAGCGGTTGTTTCAGTGTGTGGAGGCGTTGTCCAGGTTTAGTGGGGCACACGCTGTGAGCAAGCAACACGCGGCGCGAGCCAAACTTGAGCTCGAACTCCCGAGTAAGATAGATTAGATAGATGGGTGTCAGAAAACCTGGTCAACCACTGCTGAGCCCAAAAGTCTCTTCAGGGCATGTTCTGACACAACGACGGGCTTTACCCCTTGGCTATGCCTGACGTCCTCCCTTTTGAAGGCCGGGAGGCGCGAGGACGCAGAGCAGGCCAGGAGGCGCACTTCACAGGAAACACCTGAGCACGACATCAGCCGGGAGGACGGAGAGAAGAAAAAAGAGAACGCGGCGCCAGAAAACCAAACCGCGCAGCTTCTGTTTGTCGCGTTTGTTTCTCGAAAGCGTGTTCGAGTGGTCTTCGCACGTCCTTCTCAAATAAAAAGGCAAAGGAAAGACCCGCCGCGCAGGCGCCGGTCCATCCCACTTCCCTCGGTGGGCACCGGTCGAGGTCGGGGAAGATCTCGCGCAGGCGCCGGAAGGCGCGGCGTGGAGGGGCCTGGCGCGAGAGCGTAGCGATGGGCAGCGGCGTTCGTGGCGCGGCACTTTTCGAGCCCCAAAGGCCAAACGCTGGTGATGATCAATCAAACAAAAGTGGAACCTTTCCTCAATCTATGGTGACAGGATCCAGGATTTCAATGCCTTTCAACCATGCAGGAGTTCGATGGATTTCTTCTCTTCCCTTTGCTTACAGTGGCTTACAGGTGCTCAAGCATGCGACCACGGTGGCTGATGGTCGATGGGCTTTGCAGTGTCCTAGCCCTTCCTGGAAGTAGAAGCCCTGTTTGTAGATCTATATGTGCTCAAAGTCCAGTCCCAAACAACTCTTCCACCGAACCTCCACCATGATTTCTGGATGAGAAGTCAGAATAACTCTAAGACATTGGACTTCTGGAAAGAAAACCCCCTCGTAAAGTTCGGTGAAGAAAAAGCTGTTGCCAGCTGTTGCCAAGTACCATACAAGCTTGCTTATGAAACATAAATGTGATCATATGTGATATATATATATATATTGTGTTTTTCATTGCCAGCACTGGACAAGCTTGGTTCATGGATCATTCCCCTCATCCCTCCCATTCCCCCCATCCCTCGAAGAAAACACGTCGAACCCGCCTGACCCGACTCTCGCATCAGGGCGACCTGCACCCAGCGCCGGTCGCCGACCGTCGTTCGGGAACACCCGTGGTGGGTATTCAGAACATCCGTCGGTTACCGGTCAACGTCTCAATTCATCAATTTTTCTGGGTTTGCAGGGGAGTACTCCCTGAAATGATCGTGATAGGGAATTTGAAGAACTCCACGCGGTCTCAAACCAAGTGCTCACGATGAACGTGACAGCCATGAGCGGCTCTGATTCCATCACCTTAAGAGGAACCGATGGATCAAGAGATCATTGTGACCGTCAGTGAAAGGGTTTGGCGACCCAACGAGCAAACCTATAGATGCCTGTGAACTCAATACCTGGTACATAACCATGCTGTTGGGACCCCAACGAAAACACAGCTATACAGGCTATACATGCTAAATACAGAATTTGGACTCCGCCCCCACTTCTTTGCGGTCCATCCCTGCATTGATCCATGTGTTTTCGAGCTCCTCTGGCCATCGACGCAGGGCACCGAATCGATGATCCCCCGCGCCTCCAAGTGCTCCTGAAAGAAGCCGTTCCTCACCACCGGCCGTTCCCGGCCACGGGGGAGAACTGCCACGGGGGTCGGCCACTCCGTCCGAACAAGAAAAGAAAGACCCCCAACATGCCGGGCGTGGAAGAAAAACGCAGGGTTCCTGCTTATATAGGTCTAATGAATTTTCAGGACATGACCTTCCAAGAAGATCCTTTTTATAGTGTTCATGTTCTATTAAAGCAGTGAAACATGCCCGCTAGTACCTCAACCGCGTAACCCCACGTAACCCCCGCGTTCCATCCCCGCGTACTCCGGGCGTGGCCATCCAGAGGTCCATGGATCCCCGGCTGAAACCAGTTCCTCATCCTCGAGCTGCTGAAGCCCATCTGAACGAGTGAAGAGCAGTCGCCCGACCCGCGACTTGCGACTCGTGGAGCGGGAGGGGTCGTCGACTCCGCCTTCGGAACCATGTCCGGACGTCGGATCCGGTGAGGATCGCAAGTATGACGGGGAATCCGGTGAAGATCAGTGAAGAACCTGTTGAAGGTGCTCAATTTCTTCCATTTCGCTCCCCCCCCAACAACACAAAAACAAAAAGCGCGCACGCACACACGTCACATAGAGACTTCGTCGGTGTGTGTGGCAAGTTTCAAGCCCTCAAGAAAACAACCCTCCACACCAAGGCAACCCTCCCATAACCCAAACACTCCATGTGCCAATTACCTACATTAGGGTGGTTTTGGGGGTCAATGTACGCATACACTCCATACATGGAGCGTCTGGGATATAAAAAGCTTCCCTCCCCCCAGCAAACATTCATTGTGAAACCTCCAAAGGGCGTGAAATTAAATCAAGAGCCTACATGAATGACAACCACTGGAGGCGACGCATGGCAACCCTCCACGTCCAATCGACCTTCTGCATCTGAGTCCGGCTTCCGACCGCTGACTCCGGGGATCCATCGGAGGTTCGGCGGTCAATGCTGGTGGTTTGGAGTCATGAAACATGTTTTTGCTTGCAACATCCTGCAACTCCTGCAACATCCTGCAACTACTGTACAGGACCCATTTAATCCAGACCTTGTGTAGTTACTGGTTAGTTGGATGGTATGTTCGTCTGTGACACATTTTACCCTCCCTCCAACTGCCCATTGGAAGTGGACAACAACCCTGTGTTTGGAAAGGAAATCTCTTCCCAGGGCCGTGTCAGATTCTAAGTCTAACCAACAAAAAAACAAGAGGCGGGGCCACCCAACCAGCGACGCAGTTTTCTGCGACGCAGTTTTCTGCAAAAACATGGTGCTGAAAATGAGAGTTGTTTGTTTGGAGTTTGGCCAAATCCGGCTGCAATTTGGAGCACAACATCATTCAGTTGTCCGCCGTCCAAACAATCATGAGCATGAGAGGATCAAATCCATTTGTTGTCCATACGCAATGCCTCCCTCAGTGCCTCCGGGATTCCATGGTCAAATGGGTTGAACATCTGCCTGTAGATCTGTAACTGGGAACCCTGTGCCTGAATGTTGCCGCGGGGGTCGATGTAAGCCCATTGGCGGCCATCTGGCAGCTGCTGGCACAAACGGGTTCTGTCATGGCTAGTTGCAAACATCAGGAAGTGCCATTTTGAGATAGAGGTCCCCAACTAGATAGAATCAAATCCATGTCAAGACATTTTAGAGAAGGTGTGTTTGTCCATCTATTTTGGTGCACGACATATTTGATCACATTTGTAAAAGCAAATCGATTCTACAACCACACCTTTCTGTACCCAAACTTGCATGACCAATCTTATTGCCGAACTTGCGCCATGCAAGCCCCTGCTACATGGGTGTGGGCCCAAACCAAAGGTCCTGAATTCCCGGTCGCAACTTCGCACAGTCCTTCACAGAAAAGGGGCCTTCTGATATCGGTGGAGCCTGCTGAAATTACAATGCCGCCAAACTTTTCCTGCATGAAATGATTGATGCTTTCACTGCAGCCGCAACCTTCGTTCTCAACGTTCTAAAGACCTTTGGATAGCCTACACGCGCCTCCACCAGAACCTACGCTGAAATAAGAAGATGCTATGTTTCCATATTTTTTCCCGGCTGCATCTTTGTGTTGGGCTTTTCCTTGGGTCAGCCCCAACACTCCCCCGTGCCCGGCCAAGCCGGGCATGCCACGATCCGTCGGCTTCACGCCTGTCATTTCCCGCCCTTCGCGGCCTGGCCACTCCGGTGGGAGCAGGCTGGGCTGACACGCTCATGTTGGCCTTTTTCGCTGCCACAGATGGAACTCCCAAGGCCTCCCCTGCTGAAGAGATGCAAACTAAAGTGATTGCTTGCACTTTTGAGTTGGGTACCAGGGAAAGTGAAAGCCTCGGCTGAGGAAGTGGCAGCGGACGGCGTGGGAAACCAGCTCCACAGTGCTCAAACGCTGTGGCTCAAAGATGTTCACCTTACGTCCCTCAGGCACAGAAAGAAGGCCAATTCGTTTCATTTCCTGCGCACCCCAAGAAGTTATACCGGGCCCTACGTGAATTTGGGCGTCCCTGTGTGTTGATGTGGCAACAAAGCACCAAACATGAAACCAGTTCAACTTTTTTGGCAGACCAATTTGTTGGCGTGTCGACCAGACAAAGCAGGTGCATTGATAATGCAAATGATGGCTGTTGAGCGGTGTCATGCAATTGATCTATATTCGATATTCCGTATATGGTCTGACGCCAGAGGAGATGGCTTATCTAAAGAATTACAATCAAATATATTGTACAGTGTTACAATACTAGTATATAGATGTATATAGCATGATACAACCTCTAGTCGAAGAAGCAAAAAGGCCTGTCCCCGCTGTCTAGACACTTTCCCCTAGACCGAGACCCCAGGGTGGTGGTTGATGACCAGAGCGGTCATCCTCCCCGACCGATGAAACCCACCGACCCAGAAGTTTGCCAGGACCAGCGCTTGAGCGGGTTTAGAGCCCTTTGGACCATGTGGAGCTGCACTTTCCATTGCTGCAGAGCCGATGTGAGTTGCTGCAGTGGATTCCGAAAGCGAATCCCTCATGCGTTTTCCCAACTAGACATAGCATCCACTTTGGCAGGTGGGGTGAACCCTTACAGTTTGAACACTGGATCCCAGCCCCACTTAGGCCCCTTCTGGTTGCCTACGGTGCTAAGTTGGCCCGGTCACGAGCTGTGCACAGAGCTTCTCAAAGGGTTCCACATGTCACAGTTCCCCTCTGCAGAAACAGACTGAGAAAATTGCTGTACGTGATGAGGAAAAGTCGCAGTTGCCACGGTAGCTGGGTGGCCAGACTCGCCCGTCGGCTCGATGTTAATTACTAACATGTTACTACATGTTGCTACATGTACACAGTAAATAGCTTGGTTTCGTCCCACCCCCCGTTCTGCCTTTGGACGCACCTTTGGACGCACCTGGCCATCCCGGCAGACCAACAGGACGTGGAATCGGCGGCACGAGTGTTGCGTGGAACAGGCTCACGTGAAAAACCTCCCGACAAAGGCCGACACATGGAACACATGCGTCAGACTCGAATCCATACGAAAAGACCTTATATCACAAACTCCTGTGTGTGTGTGTGTGACACGGCTTGTTTGCGTCTTTTCCCTTTTGTGGGACGCTGCGCAGCTTGAAGATTTTTATGAACCCATGCCCTACCCAAATTGCTTGAGGAATCGGATTCTCAAACCACCACGGGCCCCGGCGCCGGTCGACCCCGGCAGCACCCGCCACGGGCCCGGTCGTTCGCCGTTCGGAGCGATCGCTGCTAAGGACGGATCGCTGCTAAGGACGGGTCGTCCGGAGGGTCGAGTCGAGGTTGGATGGAGAGCTGCCTTGAACGACAAAGAAAACAAGGTTAAACAAAAAAGAGGTGAACAAGTGGCAGAACATCGTTCGAACATCCACATGTTGGTTCAGTGGTTTAAAAGCGGAGCCCAAGAAAAAATGCAGGGATTGGTGCCATCGAACCTCTGCAACCACTGTAAGAATGTCCAATTCTTTCGATGCTCAGAAGGCTCTTGGGTGTGTTATGGTGTGTTCTAGAATGTAGACGGTTGATGAATCAAACCATGTTGGATGGGATTCTGCCCCACCTCCCAGACCATCCATGGGACCTCTCTTTTTTGAAAGGCCAGGGGGGTGGTGACGGGGTCCATGACATGGGTCATCTTAGGACCCGAACCCTCCTCAATAGCTCAACACATATACCAGGACCCTCCGATAGGGGAACTCATATTTTTCTAGGATTTTTTTTCGTTCTTTTTTTTTGAATTTTTTTCACGTTTAGGCATTAGGTATCTCTGTTGGCTTCTGGTGGCTTCTGGTAGCTTTTGCTAGCTTCTGTTGGCTTTTGCTGGCTTCCGGTGGCTTTTACTGGCTTTTGGTGGCTTTTGTTGGCTTCTGTTGGATTTTGGTGGCTTCTGGTGGCTTCTGGTAGCTTTTGTGGCTTTTGGTGGCTTCTGGTGGCTATTTTGTTGGCTTCTGGTGGCTATTTTGTTGGCCTCTGGTGGCTTTTGGTGGCTTCTGGTAGCTTTTGCTAGCTTCTGTTGGCTTTTGCTGGCTTTTGTTGGCTTCTGGTGGCTTCTGGTAGCTTTTGCTAGCTTCTGGCGGCTTTTGCTGGCTTCTGGTGGCTTTTACTCGCTTTTGGTGGCTTTTGTTGGCTTCTGTGGGATTTTGGTGGCTTCTGGTGGCTTTTGTTGGCTTCTGGTGGCTTTTAGTGGCTTCTGGTAGCTGTTGCTCGCTTCTGTTGGTTTTTGCTGGCTTTTGTTGGCTTTTGGTGACTTGTGTTGACTTTCGAAGGCTTCTGTTGGCTTTTGTTGCTTTTTGCTTTTGTGGCTGTTCGCTATCCTTGCTTTGCTTATGTGATGCAGGAAGGAAGAAAGGAAGGAGGGAAGGAAGGAAGGAAGGAAGGAAGGGAAGGGAAGGAAAGAAGGCAGCAAGAAAGGAAGGAAGGAAAGAAGGTGAGCACTTGCAGGTGGCCAGCTTGCGGAGAAACAACTATCATTTTGGAGACACGAGCCTGAGGGAAGGCGCCCACAACAGGACCAGAAAAAAATTCCCCAAAAAAAACGGAAAAAAAAACCTTTTAAAAAAACGCGGCCTCCGATAGGTCACCAATAGAGACCTGAGACAGGGTCCAACAACCCTCAACTAACAGCCTGGCCAGGAGGGTGCTGGTACAGGTCATATTGATACCTTCCGCGCGGTTCTTGCGTCGAACAAACCGGATCTCGGATGGACTCGGAGGGCTCGGGCGGGAACGGGCCTTTCTTCCCTCGCTCGCCTGCGGGTCGGAGCGCGGGAACCGCGGCTTCCACACAAGAGACGCTGGAGTTAGACCGAAAGAAACAAGAGAGGTGGAGCAGACCTGAACGACTAGCACCCTGGGAAAGGTGGTACATATGGGATGGGCGTAAAAAAGGCTGTGAAAAACCTCTCTCTGGAAAGTGCTACTTATGACTCTAGACTCTAGACTCTTGATGAATTTAAATACACCCCCATGATCCCCTATCAAGAGGTTGTTGAATCCAAATACGGGGGGATTAGTCAACATTCTGCAGTCATTGCCCTTGACAGAGGGTCCTTGACTTTTGCAGCTGCTCAGCTGCAACATGCACAAGTTCACGAACCAAAAAAACAATTGGCCCAAAGCCAGAAAGTCAATGAACTGATCCTGGACTTTGCACATGCCGAAACACCAAACCAATAGGATTCCAACCATCATTGATTAAAACGGATTCAATGGTTTTCACCGAACAATCATTGTTTGACCGAGGATTTGACCCTACAAAACCCGGTCCCACCCTTGCTAACGTGTTCAAGGCTGGGCTTCCCAGAAGCCCGCAATGGAGGCTTAGATCACCGAGCAGGTGTGGTTTATAGACAAAGCTTAGATGCCGGACCATCCATCAAACCACCTCCCCAAAAAACGAGAAGTGGCCATGGCAAGAGCACCAACCGCCCAGCAGGGATCCAGGGGTCCCCGGAGCAAAGAACCACAGTTCCGCCACCAGAACCGTTCCGCGACCTTTGTTCTCCTTGGCGTCTCCCTTCTCTCCTTTGCCCTTCTCACTCCTCAGTCGGATGGCAAGAGGGGTCGCTTGTTTGAACCAGGTGAGAAAAAGAGGATCAGCAGCTCAAACATGCACAGGTTGGCATGACGCTGGCTATATTCCACACTGTTGATTAAGTTGAAAAGTTGAATCTTTCCCGAAATCGCACAGCTTCCATACCACCGAAACCCTGCCAAAGAGTGGCTGCTGGCTGCAGCACAGCGGGACGGGTCTCCCAGAGGTCGTTCTTCAGTGGGAAAACGTTCATCTAAGATTAAAATCATCTGAAACCACCTCAAGATATATTAAGGAGTTTTGAATGGTTTTGAATGTCGTACGATGCTCTGGACGAAGCTTCGGCCTGAAAAACGCAGCAGTTTGCCCATAGATCTCCGAAACCGGCACCGACAGTCGTTGAATGTCTTTTAGACGAGGGACACAAACAAAATACCGACCTTGTGGCACCTACTCTCAATCTATAGAATTGGTGACTTTTTTGGCTCAATTTCAAACTGCCCCCTCCCCTTTTCATTATATATTCATATCTTTTTGTCTGGCATCACCGGCAGGCCATCGGCAGCCAAGACAATCCATCGCAATCCCACTCCAACCACCTGAAAACCCTCTCCAGCTGGGAACTCCAAACCCTTTCCAGTTCTTGCCGGACTTCCCCTGGCGGTTTCAGACTTCAAGACCCATCTTAGCAAGGTGAGGCAAAGGTCCAACGGAATCCAACATGATTCGCTTTGACTCTTGAAAAGGAGCCACGAAGACTCTTTGGACAAATGCCGCAAAAGACCTGCGCATTCCCGGGCTTGGGAGCTCTAAACAGCTCCCGAGAAACAGCTCCCGAAAATGGATAGCAGGAGTTATAGATAGGCCATCCGCCCATCGTCACCGGAACGACGCCCTCCTGATTCGGCGGACGAACTTCTTCCAACTTGGTGGACTTTTTGGTCTCAATGCGAGCTCAGCCTGATCGAGGACGGATGTTCATAATGTTCATATCGGAAATTATGACGGTTAACATCAAGAACATCCCCGTGTCATCCGGATTCCGCATTGCGCATGTCTTAGAATTCCCGGAAATGTTCACCGGTTCTGGAGGAAGAGAGTCACAGTCCGTCTTCCTTCACCAAACATGGCTACATGGTCCATGGCTACACCATATATATATAATACATTCTATGTTCCTCTTACTTCTCACAGTCCTGTTTCCATTTTTGGGCCCAAGGGGTTGAAACAATCTTCACCGCTTCGTTTTCACCGCTCACCGCGGTCATCGGCCGCCGAGTGCCAAACCGCGCGCCTCGCGACTGTCAGAGGCCTCAACGACCGGAGGTTCCAACAAACGTGGAGCCCTCCATGAAAGGACCTTTGTGCTTCTTGGGGAAACTCGAAAAACAAAACACATCGGGAAGGACTTGGATGAAAGGAGCTGATGATCAAAAGTACCTGCCATTTGGCTCGAAGATAGGGAAGGACCCTTCAAAAATTTAGACTCCAGAGAGGGATGTGCCATGATGGTTCATATCTTGGGGTATATCTTCTTTTTGTTGGTCCCAATTGAAGATATATACCAAATTGTTATCTCTATACCAGGCTTGTTTCTGCCAAGGTGGGGTCAAGAATTCTCAGGAACACCTGCCGGAATGATATAGAAAGTGGTGCATGTTGAGATCGGCCAGTTTGGATGGTGCAGCTGGGCACAAATCGGCCGTTTTGGCCCATGCTGCCCAGGCTTGAGTGGCAGGAACGGGACTTGTTCGGAGAGCATGGACCCGAACGACTTGCATAAGGCGGAGTGTCCGGCTTGTCAATGTATACAGTATTATACTTGGTCTTTGTTGCATCACGTTACTGACCGTGCCTCTCAACTAGAACCGCCTCTCTGTCCAAAGCATGCCCGGGATTCAAGGTCAAAACACTTTCCTACCCAGCTGCAGCTCCCCTTTTTCTGACCAAAATGAGCTTGATATCATATTCAAAAAAGAAAACGACTGTTTACCTGGAACCAGGGAAAGCCATTACAGTGTGTGGCGCCTGGCTCCTATGACCCCCTCAATGTCCCTGCAAAATAAAGGTGAACAGATTGTCAACCTGTTCTTGTTGAATCCAACCCTGAGAAAAGGTTGAAGAGTATCCACTTTTCCTGGGTTTAGGTGGTGTTCTTCCATCAATTCCTTGAAGTTTTAGAGTTGCGACCCAAGGTTTTGATTTCTCATCTTCGGTGCCGAAGGAGTCATTTCTAAGAAAGATGGTCTTCCCTCATCAACTGATTTATATATAGTTTATACAGCCACGCATGTGTCTTCTTAATTGGTGTTGCTTGATTTGCAAATCGGATATGTCGAGTCTGTTGATTGTCATGTTTAGTATAGTAAAGAAGGAATATCGCAGTAAGCAAGTACTATTAAACTCCAAACCCAAGCATCACAAAGTTCACAACAAGCTTTGAACAATCACCCATGCAAGCTCAAAATCATGAAACCGCAAGTTGCCACAAAAACTTCCCCATTTATCAGTCGATCAGTCGTTCACACCCCATTTCAGAGTAGCAAGGCTCGGCTGGGCCACCGCCTGGCCTCTTTTGGAGGGCAAAAAAACCTGACTGACTCCCTCATAAAGGTGAACCGTGAAGCAAACTGTCCACCTGTTCAATCTGTAGTGGGATGTCACCCGTCCGCCAGGGCTGCCCCTGACGCCACGTCCAGGCTGCCCGGCGCCCCGGACGGCACCTGGGACGGCCGAGTCGCCAAGCGGTTCGGGGCTCAAGCGAGGCTGAGAGGTCTACAAGCAGTAACAACATGATATATAAGTTAATTGTAATACAACGACTGCAACTACTGCTACCACTACTGCTACTGCTACTGCTACTGCTGCTGCTGCTGCTGCTCCTACTACTACTACTACTACTACTACTACTACTACAAGCAGTTCCCGGGCAAGCCGGCGGCGGAAGTTTCCTATAAGAACACATTGACCTATAGGAGTGTCCACGTTCTCTCCACCATGCGTGTCCCTCGTGTCACTCACTGAGCCAAACGCATGCGCTCCGGACTGTTGACACGCACACACACAGCGCCACCTGTGCAAGGTCTGTGCTCCCTGCAGGATCAGCGCACTGGGTTGTGTCTATGCCAAAGCAAGATCACCAGCCCACACCGGCGTGCTGAAGCAACTGGGCATCTGCAAGCGAAAGTTAAGTGCAGCTGGCGCGGGCACGCGAAGTGGGTGGTGTTTTCAAAGTCAAAATCATGTCTTCATTGTCCAGCTTGCCAAATACTCCGCGTACTTTACAGTTGTACTACAAAGTCGCCAGTTCTCATTTTCCAGCTCCCCAGATACTCAGCAGCGAGAGATGACTCACCAGCGAGAGATGACTCAGGAGCAAGAGATGACTCACCAGCGAGAGATGACTCATCCGCGTACGAAAGTTGTACTACAAAGTCGCTAGTTCTCAGCTTCTAGCTGCACAGATTGCTCCGCGTACTCAAGTTGTAGTACAAAGTCACCAGTTGCTCTCTGGCTTGCTAGCTAGCGCCTTCAAACCATGGTCAGCTACATGTACGGATCCCAAAACAAAAGCAAGTCACACCCAGTCAACCCAGTCCAACCGCTGGTTCTTTCCAAACAGTGTCCCTAGTCATGGTCAGCTATACGCACAGAATCCAAAACAAAACAAATCATACCCAGGCAACCCAATCCGACTGGACGGGTTCCAAAACAAAAACAACATGCGTGTCCCTGGTCAGTCGCACGCCCTCCGGACTTTTTGACCACCACAGTGCCACCTGTGCAAGGTCTGTGCTATACCAAGGCAAGATCAGCAGCCCACACCGGCGTGCTGAAGCAACTGGGCATCTGCAATTGAAAGTTAAATGCAGCTGCTGCGGGCACGCGAAGTGGGTGGTGTTTTCAAAGTCAAAACCATTTCTTCCAACATTTGGTGTGCTCCTCCGTGCACAAGCTTGCCTTTCGTCTCATGCCTTCATTCCATGCCTACAGCGCAACACGCATCTACAGCGTCCCCAGCGAGAGATACGTCAGCAGTGAGAGACGACCCAGCCGCAAGAGATGACCCTGCAGCGAGAGATGGCTCAGCAGCGAGACATGACTCTGCACTGAGACATGACTCAGCAGTGCGACAGGACTCAGGAGCGAGAGATGACTCAGCAGCGAGAGATGCCTCATCCGTATACTAAACTTGTACTACAAAGTCGCCAGTTCTCAGCTTCCAGCTCGCCACATACTCCGCGTACTAAAGTTGTACTACAAATTCGCCAGTTCTCAGCTTCCAGCTCTACAGATTGCTCCGCGTACTAAAGTTGTACTACACAGTCGCCAGTTCTCAGCTTCCAGCTCTACAGATTGCTCCGCGTACTACAGTTGCACTAGAAAGTCGCCAGTTCTCAGCTTCCAGCTCTACAGATT